ATTTTTTTTATCCAAACCATCAATACTCATAGATTTTGACTATTTGTACATTTTAACATCCAAGCTATTAAAGGAACATTTTGTCAAAAATTGCCAATGCTTCCATAATTAAAAATGATTGTTACCTCCAGCAATTCATTAATTCAAAGTACATACAAAATACAAACAATTTGTTTTGAAGTTGTGATACATAATGGGTGGGGATAGAGAAAGTTTTATGTCGTAGAAGTACTGCAACATAATGGCAAATACGTCAAAGAGTTCAATTTCTCTGGCAATGCTTGATCTAGGACTGTTTCAATACTTCCTGTATCGCTATCTACCTTTACTGACCCAAAATAAAATAAAAAGGCAACGAATCTATCAACCTTTTGCGACAGAAATGTCATGATCATCCCAAAACCCGATTCGATTTACCTAAGCCCTAGGTTAATCTCTAGTTCCTATTTTGGATAAGCATTCGTATTAAGATGTGTAGCAATGGCGATAAATAAATCATCTGACGTGTTACGAAGAGGTGACAAAATTCCAACTCAGTGGTCATTACCTTTCGTGAGGTATGTCCTTCAAACTCAATCCCAGGTGGACGGTGGACGAAGGAGGAACTACATTTAATTCATCTCAAGATCCCAAAATTAACGTTAAGAGCCTTCCTAGCTTTAGTTTCACTAGCAGCAGTGCCACTATCGACACTACCCCTTCCACTTCAAGCTTTCCTTCTCCTGCTACTGATACTGCTTCCTACCCTAGTGGCACTAGTCTTGCTCTTACCCTGTCAGAAACCCGCTATATGGAAACCCCTTTCGTAAGGTGCACATGGGGTTTGGTTCCCTCGCGTGTCATGATCATGATTATAAATGAAAGTTTCCATGCTTATCATGTATGTCACACTCTCCACGCCTTGCCACTCCCGCGTCTTGTTCCCCCATGGGAGACACTCTTTTGTTATAGTTTTCGTCAACGCCACTGCAATTGTCGGTTGGTGTCAATTATTTTTGAATGTTTAATTTAAATATTTTTTATCTTATATTACCCGGTATTTAAATTCGCGTACAACCGCAGATGACGTTTTTGAACCTGCAATTCATTTCATTATATTGCCTTCTCAAATAGCAATAATTAATCAAACTATGACTTGAAATAGACAATTCCCATTATAGACTAATTTTAAACTTAAGCAAGGAAACTCAAATAAATTACCACAGCTAGAAAGAGCATACTAAAATTAATAAAATTACAAAGTTTGGTTGCGAAATGTTGTAAAATGAGGAAAATATAACCTTGCAAAATTCGCAAATTTTGTATACTTTTGTATTGCTTGCGGAAATTCCTACCACATTCCTACCACATTTAGGCCGAAAATGGTCGCACGCAATACAAAAGTATACAAAATTTGCGAACTTTGCAAGGCTATATTTTCCACATTTTACAACTAGACGGCCGGCCAAAACCGGAAAATGTGCAACAAAATTTGTTTGATGGCATTTTCTGTTACAAGCTGCCAACTGACATTTTCGTAAAGTATATGCATTAACGAACAAGACTAGACATGTTGGCAACTCTAATTTTGGCTTTCTAGATGAAAATTTGAGAATTTGAAAATTTTGTCTATAAAAAGTACTATGATGAGAAAAATGCAAAATTACAAGTTCACATTTAACAAAAATAAATTATACCATTAGAAAGTTCGCAAAAAAGTATATATAAGACATTTAAGTTGTAGTATGATTTTTGTAGCCAATTTTGTGCTTTTAACACTGGAAAATGAAAAAAAACGCCAATTGATGCCGATAGTTACTATTTTGCCAACTTTAAGCTCCTTTAACTCAAAACTGGCTTGAAAATTCGCACTACTCCCTTAAATGTCTTATATATACTTTTCTGCGATCTTTCTAATGGTATAGATTATTTTTGTGAAAAATGAACTTGAAATACTGTATTTTTAGTCAACATAGTACATTATTAGGCAAAATTTTAAAATTCTGAAATTTTCAACTATAAAGCCAAAATCAGAGGTGCCAACATATATAGTCTTGTTCACCAATGTGTAAGCTATAAAAAAATACCAGTTGACAGCTTGTAACAAAAAATGCCATCAGAGTGTACATTTCAGAATGTTGGCCGGTCGTCTAAACATTTCGCAACCAAATTTTGTAATTTTACTAATTTTAGTATTCTCTTTCTAGCTGTGGTGATTTATTTGCATCTCCTTGCCTAGTTTTAAAATTAGTCTATAATGGGAATTGTCTATTTAAGGATTAATTTCCAATTTTATCCTGTCCTTCGCCAGAATCACACCATTGCCCAATAGAAAGAGTCCCGGTTGGTAAGTTAGATGAATAATTAAGCCAAATTGTCATTAGTGCCGTTTAGAAAACAAATAAAACAAAAGGCCTAGGAAAAGAAAACAAAGGTCTAGTGTGACGGTGTTTGGCCTAATTATTCAGTAAACCTACCAACCCTGGACAGAGGCTCCTTTCACTCCATTATAAGAAATTTCAGACAAAGGTTGCACGATTTTTGCATCCACGAAGCAGATATATTGCTATCGCAAATGTGACCGTACAGTACCGTATGTTAACACATAGCCATTCAGCGACGAGCTTATGTAATTAAGCCAATTTAAGCCAATCAGCAATTCGTTTACATCAATTGTTTACATCGTGCCCGCATCTAACCTGCGAACGGACATCGTTTCGCCTCGTGTAATTCGTGTTATTCTTTGCCATTTTCATATTTTGGCTCCAAAAAATGTTGATTTTGTTTTGTTTTCACCACTCTACTTGCGATATTTATATTCCGAAATTGTCTATCAACATGGAAACTTATCCTCATCTGGTAAGTAGTCAAATACCACATATTTTCTTATATACATTTATACAGTAAAACAATTATTGTGTATTAATATTTGAAAAAGTCAAAACATAGCAGGCAATATATTTGCCAATGAACAATATTACATGAAACTAATGTTCTCAGGAGATATTCAATTTAATCCTGGTTCTGTATTTCTGTAACTCTGTTTAAAACAATTATTTCTGTTTAAAACAACACTGCAACTAAGCTGTCGTCAAATGTAGTGTTTATAGAACAAAGGTTTATAGATGTTTAATTACTGTATATTTACACTTTGTAAAAAATATTTATATATTTTGGTTTTAATACACATTAGAATTTATAATTAAACAAAATTTTTACAAACGTTTTCAATTCACTTTCAATTTTCAAAACATTTTCATAATTTCATTGTCATTTTGATTTCTAACTGTAAATGTTTTTGCTTACCGATTATTACGAGAATGATGAATAGATGTACTGGATATTGGACGGATAATGTTGTCAGAATAATAAGAGCCACTTGCAAGACAATCTTATCTAAACCCATTAGTATGGAAAATAACTTAACAGCTACAATAATCATATATTATATGGATGGATGGATGGATCAGATCAATGGCACACAATATATGTACAAAAGTAAACGTGTGATACCTTCTACTCAAATCGATATGCTGTGTTAAACTGAACAGTGTCGTATATCATCAACTGTGTACAGGATTAGCATTGAATTATATACTACACTTATGACCTTCAAAACATTCTCTAATATTAGGTGTTCTTCGACTATGATAGACTCATTGCTACAGTAATGCATGTTCCTCCGCTCGAATAGTTTGTGTATGTTACTCAATAGTTAACGTTTGCCAAGTGTAAACAACAAGTGACAGAACTTTTGCTTCATATGACTTCAATAAAGTTTTAAAAATTTGATATGTATGGCGATTGACAAGTGACATTTCACTAAATAACCTGTTGCTGGCTGTATAGACACTTCGAATATTGTTTGCATGAAATTTTATTCCTGACTGCATAATTATCCATTACAATCATAATCGCATTATAAAATTAGTTAAATTTTCTCGGCGGTGGGGGGGGGGGGACGGGGGTGTAGTTGCCCCTGCTGCCCTCTGCACTGTGTACAGCCATGTTAGATGTATATTATGTTTGACTTTAAAATTTTATTCGCTATTATATTATAATAAGTGATGAAATATTTCAATTGTTCCATGTCATCTTCATTATTCAGTTCCTTAATTTCAAGAAAACACAAAATGTGAATCAAGTTTTTTCGCAGATACATGTACGCGTCGCGTACCTATTTTTAAATAATGTAATTCCCTAGGTAAGTACTATAATAAGTTTTGACTCCAGCTGTTCAGCAATAGTTCACATGAAACAGAAATTTAAAAATACAAACTCGCACACGAAGTTTTATTAAAACTGCTTGCCGTAAAGTGTACCAACTTTACAGTTCATAAATAGGTTTATAAAATTGCGTAGAGCTGAAAATGAAATTTGGTTGAGAGAAAGAGAGAAATGAGATTTATTTGATCTGATGGTAATTTTGCTTCACAGCGAGAGTGGAGCAAATGAGAATTTAAGCTTCTATATGAGTGTGACCCTGCCCACGTCTTGAATAGCTGTTATCGTAATTGAATACGCCGCTGCGGCGAACCAGCGGTATCTCTGTGGAAGTACGCACGAAAACGAGGCTAAAGGGTAAAAAACACAAAACATGACCCTATAGCCTCGAATCGATGTTAAAATAATACAGATACCGCTGGTCCGTAGCATAGATGTATTCAATTACGATAACAGCTATTGAGTACATTTATTCAGAAGATTGGATAACTTTTCTCCAAAATTTCTGGTAATGCGGTGCAGCGCCGTAGCAAGCTCGATAATTGGGGGGGGGGGGTATTCATATATTGGTGTTCACAGACCATAAAAACAATCGATTTCTAAAGAAATTAATAACGCAGAACACGCATATTTGAATATCTGCCCCCCCCCCATTATTGAGCTTGCTACGGCACTGATGCAGTGTTGTTTTCGAAGCAGACTGGAAATATGATATTTTTGGGACGATGCATGATGAAATGCACATCGCATCCTAATTTCAAATGAACAATATGCACACCGATAATGTCTGTTAATTAATGTACTTCACAGGTCCATTGGGAATGGATTGTTTAAAATTCAATTCAGTCTGCTAGAGGAGGAGAACAAAAAAACTTGCACATGAACTAATAATTATACTCTAATGTATATGATTTTTCCATCCCGTGTTTTGCAGAACTTACATGTAAAGTGGATGCAATATATTATGCAACATCAAGTGCTATCAAAGGTGTGTTCTCTGACGGTAATTCAACAGTGACGATAATATCAGAAAGTGACGTGAATTTAAACTACGATTCTTCGAGTGAACGACTTCTCTACTACGATGGTGATAATCTAATGAGTGTTAAACTGGACGGTAGTAATGCAACTATAATAGCGCGTCTCTCTACCATATTACGGTTTGCTGTAGATCATATAACAAGGAACGTGTACTACATTACTAATTTATTCAGAAACGTTCGCAGCATTGATCTGGATACTGGAGCTGACAATCCTGTAAGTTCTAATCTTGGAAGTGGTGTTCAAGACTTGGATACTGATCCAAATAACAGGTATATATCTCAACTGCCTTTGCTTATAAAACCTTAATAAACATAACGGATTCGTTTAGCAAGTTTTACCATTGATTGCGCTTAGTTTTATTTTCTTGAAATTATTCAGATGTTTGTTCAACGCTATGCTACTTTAACTTATACAGCATGTTTAAAATGGGAATATGAGATATACATATATTATTTTATAGTCTCAATTAGTGCTAGCTATTTAAAGCATGATATTGCCACAAATTGCAATTAAGAGTCTTGATCTTTACTGTTTTGGTTGATCACATATAAAGAACGAGAGACGTTAATTATCACTGTGTCGGTATGTACTGTTTAATAAACGAACAGGAGTGTTTTATTAGGTTTAAAGCCCCGAGCGCGCAGCGCGAGTGGCTATAGACCTAATAAAACACGACCTGCGAGTTTGTTAAACGGCTTCAAACACGACTACAAATTCAATAGATATACTGCCTTATTAGTATTCTTTATATAAAGAATACTAATGAGGACACGACTACAATAGATACTGCCTTATTAGTATTCTTTATATAAAGAATACTAATTAGGAGTGTTTTATCAGGTTTAAAGCCACTGCACGTGACATATTATGGTTGACATGATTTGCCAATTAGCTTATGAATTATTAATGAGTGTTTGAAGTATATTTAAAAAAGCTCACTAATAATTCATGAGCAAAAGACAAAGGAAATCACAACCGTGTCGGTGGTTTTATATTTCATAAAAAATCAATGTTCATTTACATAAGGTTTACCTTTGATTTTCCTGGCATAGCTAGACAACGTTTATTCTTAAAATTACTTCGCTAATGAACTCATCCGATGGGTTGTTTTTTAACCTCTCGTGTTTTATATCTGATAAAGCACTCCTGCTCGTGTTTCAAATAGTACATAACATATTGTATTATTGATTATTATTAAACCATTGTTTAAAGACAATGGTTTAATAATAATCAATGCTGTAATATGGCAAAACTCTTTTTTGGCATCAATGTCGTAGTAGTGACTGCCTCGTCCTCCGCTCAATTGTAAATACCAGCTAAACATGAGCAGCCGATCTTTTGACAAAGACAAAGATTGGATGCCACATTGATGCCAAAAAATAGTTTTGCCATAATTACAGCATTGATTTTTATTAAACCAATTATTGTTTAGAAAATTGTTCAATAATAATCAATGCTGTAATATGTTATGCACTATTAAAAACACTCGCAGTTCGTGCTTTATCAGAGCGCAGCTGGAGTGTTCTACATCTGATAAAGCACGAACTGCGAGTGTTTTAATTAAATAGCTTAAAAAACGACCCACCTCTTGTCAGTTCATTGGCGAAGTAATTTTAAAAATAAACATTGTCTAAGCCGTGAAAATCAAAGTTGAAGTTTATGTAAATCAGGACAAATCTTTATCCGATTTACAAACATTAATAGGCAATTCCAGCTTTTAGTTTATGCGTGCAGGGGATAATGGGAAGTAAGGTATCATATTGCTGATTGCACTGAAAAAATAAGAATGGTGGCCGTGTAAACACGGAGTGATACTTATACTTGTAATTATTGAAATATTTCGGTTGTTTCGGCAGTTTTTATTGAAATTGTTCAGCATAATCAGCAATATGACACCTTACTTCCCTTCACCCCCTGCGCGCATAAATTAAATGCTGGAATTGCCTTTTAAATATTCATTTCTTTTGTATTTTCCTCATGAATGATTAACGAGTTTTTTATTAGTAGTTAAACAAAAAAGATAGTTGCAATGTTTTCGGCTAGATTAAAACGAAGCGAGATGAATTTGTGCTAATTATATGAAATACACGAATTTCAAAATAGGTACTATAATCGTCATCTTTTTCTATTTTCAGCTCGCTTGTTTTTGTTCGTGCAAGCAACGGAGATATTGTTCGCTATTTCCTTGATAATGGCACACAAGAAGTTGTTTACAATAACAATAGATCACCTCAAGTTCTGTCAGTTGACTCCGAGTATGAAGTAATTTATTGGATTGACTATATCGCTGCTAATGATAGCTACTCTCTTATGAAAACATACTTCAATGGTTCAACTTCGCAAGTAAATTATTATCCTGGTACGACCAGCTCAGTCACAATTGCAATTGGTAAAGATGATTTTTACGTTATGGACAGTACAAGAGGTCGTATTGATAGATTTGACAGGAGTACAGTCTCTTTGCAAAATACATTCTATCTGAGCGACACAGCCAACGAACTAACGGTTGTTCAAGGTAAGGCAAAAAATATTCCATTTCTTGTATCATGCAAGTTTACGAGTACCATAATGTGCTGTAATAGCAACTGTTTGAAAAGCACGCTACAAAGAAGAAAGAATGAAGTACGTCTACTAAATAATTTCATTTGGGGTGAATTTGAAGTTGATGCTCGCGAACTTTTTTGTCTTTCTGATTGAAATTTAGTATAATTTTCTAATATTCCCTAATTCCAGTATCGCAATAACAGGGAGTTACAGATATAAGCCATAGGCAGAGCATCCCAAGAAATCAATTAACCGCAAACCACCATGCATATAATCTTCACTACACAGTTACCCAGTAATGACGTTAGTGCTGCATCATTTCCTTAAATCATCATATAAAAATGTTACCCAAGAACCTAATTACGGTACAGAGTGATGAAATAAACTTTAATTAGTAGATTTCCTTAATTAAAAAACATCCGTTTTCTTACATCAAGAATTCAATCTTTTCTCACATAAAAGCACTACATGGTCGCTTGGGCTCAGCCAGCGCTTGAGCACAAGCAGCAGCCGCTGTCCGCCCATACTTAGTGAATTATAATTGCCAATTTAACAACATAATCAAAGGTAAAATGAGAGAGAGTAACTTTGCATACAATCTGGCTACCAGAAAAGCAGATATTGATATGACAGCTACAATTTTGATACTTGGATCAAAATTCTAAATCAAAGTAAATTTGTTTGTGTAGATCTGGATGAATGTTGTGTTGGTGGTCAGTGTCATGATAATGCAACATGTACAAATACGCCTGGAAGCTATTCTTGTACATGTAAGATGGGTTTTACTGGGAATAACACACACTGTGAAGGTACAAATACAGTTAATCTTATCAGTGGCCGTGGAACGGGGGACACAATGCCCGTTTTTTTTAAGCGAAAAAAGTGCCCTTTTTTCTGGGCTAAAGTGCTCCAAGTACAGAACGAAAAAAGTATTCCTTGAATGAACGCCCTCTTTTGCTGGAAAGAAAGTGCCTAGTTTCTTGCTCTAGTAAAGACTCAGTAAAGGCCATTTCTGGCGTTATAGACTCCATATTTTCAAAATTGTTTCATTTGACTCGTGGCCGACATAAAATCGTTTGATTTAGGTCGTATATACAAAATTGCCCCTTTTGGGCAATGCCCCTCCACTTTCGAAATTTTCCCCCGACCTCTGACTCTTATCAATTACAATATGATTATACCCACTTAGCCAATCATCGTCCAGGCTTTTCATTCTCTATAACCCCTAATCTGATGTTTGATAGTAATCACAAGTGAGATTATGTAACTTATACTAGTTTGACCCATACAGAAGACAACCTCATCCCCAGAGCCTGCGTACTGAAAAGGCCCTGTCATCGACTGGAATTTTACACCCCGAATTTTGGGGTGTAAATATTAAGACCACTTAATTTTAATACGCGAAATTGATTTGTTCTTCAACGTTTCCTATACTTGCTGCTCCAAGACAAGGTAAATATTATATATTTTTAATCCTCGACAAATAAGCCATCGGAAAATGTTTGAATCAAAGTAGTAGTATAGATACCGTCCGACCCCCTTTTTTGCGGTGGTGGAGGTGGTGGAGTGTGGTGGATTGTGGTGGAGGTGGTGGAGGTGGTGGAGGTGGTGAAGGTGGTGGAGTGTGGTGGAGGTGGTGGATGTGTGTGGTGATGTGTGGTGTGTGGTGGTGGATTTTTGTGGTGGTGGTGGTGTGGTGGTGGTGGTGGTGGAGTGGGTCGGAGTGTGAGGTGGTGGTGGGGGTGGTGGAGTGTGGTGGAGTGAGGGTGCGCTATTTAATTAACATACGTCATAATGATATGCAATGATGTCACGCGGGCAAGCTTAAACAAGGTCGGGCAAAGCTTGCTGACTACGCATTTTTTAGCGTCCCTCCACGTGTGTGATACAATAGAGGGATTAAGATTGGCTTACTATGCGTTCCTGCTACAATCTTGGTTAGGGCTATATACAAGTCAATATGTTGTTGTCTGGAGGTTTATAAGCACAGCATAGCATTTTGCTGTTATTGTCAAGTGATTTCTATAATTTAGCTCCTAGAGGAATTAAAAAATATGATACTATATGAAATAGCATGAGTGTTATATATCTAAAACTTATATATTCGCGGTATACAGCTATATGTTTTGTTGTTAAGTAATATATAAATATTATCAAGCTTTAAAACGCTGAGAAATATCATGAGGTAAGAGTTATGTATCTACAATTAAACTAATATTTAAATCCCGGTCTGCCATATGGGATCTATATACGAGAGAATATGTTGCTATCTAGAGTTATATATACAGATGGAAGTTAGATGTCATGATATATAATTGTCAAGCGATTTCTATATTTTAGTGCTAGGTTTTTAAAGTACTAAAACTCGGATAAGGTTAATAAATTTAAGCTATATTAAAGCACAACGGTTGCTATGTGTTGTTAGGGTGAAACTAATTAAAGGATTAACTTTTATCAGAGATTTGCATTTTCTACTGTGTGGATAAATACGGGTAGATTAGGATATTCATTGCGTGGGCGTCGCGGGTTATCCGTGCGGGTTAGAAACACAACAATAAGGAGGCTTATATTGGAAGAGAGAAAGCAATTTAGACAAGACAGGAGCGCTTTGCAGCCAAAAGTTTACACAAGAATTCAGTCTTAAAATAAATTTATTTCTTCGAGACGTTTACAAAGTTAATGTGGTCTACTTCTTAGAGCATAATGTGTTTGATTTTATTTAAATTACGCACAACAATTTAAATGTTTTTTGTAATAAGAGTCGTTTGGCTTAATTATTCATTCGCCATGGTTTCTTTAACAAAGGTTCTGACCGTTGGCTCGTATTCGTGCAGATTCACCCACTTCATACGACCCGATTGGTTCATTATTTTGACAGCCCAATAATTTTCTCCACCGATGTAGACACCCGGATGGTTAGGATCAAAACTATTGCGCGATGACTTATACATCTCTCTCATAACATATCCTTCGGGAATGTTACTGACCACCTGTGCTTCCTTGGTGTAGTTTTGCAACTCGGGGATAGTTGCATCCGACAAGGTAATATGCCTCTGATGTTTTGGTTGTGTCCTTCTAGGCTTGGTTTCGACCGGTGTGGGCTCGACACTAGTACTGTTCACTTTCGTTTGGGTGGCGAAGAGATAAACACGGCAGTCGCCAAACAGGTCCTCAAGAACTTGCTTATTTGCTGGTGTATCGGCGACATTTGAACATACAGCACAAACGGCTTATATAATCAACCAAGCACGAATAAGACAGCGATCTCTCGTTATAACCCTTCTTGGTCTCAAGAATGCGTTCGGTGAAGTACATCACAATTTAATCTAATCCGTTCTTGGCTATCATCACATACCTCAACATATTCAACTCATGATTAAAAGCCTTTACACAAACCTTAAAACATCAATCATTACATCTGATTTTAGCACCCCATTTGTAGAAGTAGGTCGTGGAGTTTTGCAGGGAGATTGCCTCAGTCCATTACAATTTAGCCTATGCTTTAATACTTTTATCCAGCACATAAAATCGGAGAAATATCAACAGTTTGGTTTTTCTTATAAACTTCTCAACCCAATTCATTGGTTCCAGTTTGCTGACGACGCAGCCGAAATAACCGGCCAAGATATCTGAAAATCAATAGTCAGACATGATTATTTGAGTAGAAAAATGTAGCGCCTTTGGTATCAAAAAACCTCTCACGAAATCAGTCCAGTACGTCCCTAAGTTAATCATTAACTATTATTCCGGCTGTTGAAAGTAGAAAATCATTCTGCTATTTAGGAAGGTACTTTAATTACGAAATGACAAATAATGAACATAAATCGGAATTAGTATCACTATTGACAGACCTAATGAAAGAAATAGATCTGAAGCCATTACATCCGAAAAACAAGATTATCCTCTACAGTCGCTACGTTCTTTCAAAACTCTCATGGCATTTCACTATAGCATCAATCCAAAAAACGTGGATTTCCGAAAACCTGGACTCAGTTTTCAAAATTGACATTCGTAAATGGCTTGAGATACCTATTTCTGGCTCACTTAGTAACATTTACCTAACCAGTAACAAATTTGGTCTGAACATTATCCCCCCATCAACTAAATTCATACAATGTCAAACAACTATCCGCAGTGCTTTGAAGTCATCTCCTAATGAATCAATAACCCACCTCTGGAAGTCAACCTGTAATCATACTAACACCCAATATGATCAGTATACGTCGACAAAAGAAGTAATCAAGTCATTCCGTGAAATTCATGTAGATAAATTGGAAAATCGGTTAAAATGTCAAGGTTCATTCTTCTCCAGCATCTCAAAATTTTCACTACCCCAAGTAAATTCGATTTGGCCAACCTGTCAATCCAAACTACCAAAAAAAAATTCAACTTCACTATTCGCTACATAAACAATTCGCTACCAACCCGTAAAAACCTTCAAAAATGGGGACTCTCTTCGTCCTCTGAATGCTCGTTTTGCCTTAAACTTGAATTTCTGTTACAGGTTGTTGCTAGCTTTAGTTCCTATCTTGATCGATTTACTTGGAGACACGACTCAATCCTAAATTTTATTACTAATAACCTCCCATCAGAACATTTTCAGACCATATATGCTGACTTACCATCATTCCCTAATCCCTCTGTTATTACTAGCGATGACTTTCGTCCTGATCTACTAATTTTGACCAAAGACGATTGTCTATTTGTACTCGAACTAACCGTTGGATATGAGACTAACCTAAGGAATAATATACAGCGCAAATACTCAAAATATAAAGAGATGATCGTAGAACAAAAGAAAATTTCCGGCCGGTAAAGTTAACCTCTCAATCAGTGCACTCGGTGTTTTTGAAAAAGAATCGTCAGATTTTATACAAATGTTGGAACATTTGAACTCAGATAAGGCCTGTGTTAAAGGTAATTTACAATTGGCTACTTGATACACTATACATTACTACATTTACATAACACATGGTCATAATTATATGATACAAAAAGTAACAGACTATAGCTAACTAGAAGTTCATTAAATCTGGATTCGACCATTCCTTGTTTCTACAAAAGAAACGTAATATCTAGTTCTTATTGCAATGTTAATGATTTTCCTAATGGTATATTTAATTTAACAGTGAGATTTTCAATTGCAAGTGCATAAAAAATTCAATAAAGTTTTCATTATTATTATTATTATTATTTATTAATATTATTATTATTATTATTATTATTATTATTTGAAATAGTCTGGCTCTCCTTGCCACCTTGATCAACTTTCGATAATATGTTTTAAGCGATGTCCTTATCTGAGAACTTACCTCAGTGAACTAATTCATGAAGTTTGGCTGTCTGGAACTGTCCCAAATGAGTGGAAAAAAGCCTGTACTATATTAATACATAAGAAAGGTAACACTGATGACCCGTCAAATTTCCGTCCGATAACACTTGAGTCTATACCATTAAAAGTATTTACATTTTGTCTTCGAAACGCAATATATTCCTTCCTCGCATCCAATAACTTTATCGAACACGGCATACAAAAGGGCTTCACCCCTAACCTTGATCTGAAGAATTCTTTCGGCGAAGTCCATCATAATCTCATCCAATCAGTACTCGACTACCACCACATCGCAGAACACATAAAATTCGTTTATACACTGAGTTCCAAACCTCAATAATTACCTCGGAATTCCGCACCCCTTTTATATCTGTTGGCCGTGGCGTATTGCAAGGAGATTGCCTCAGTCCTCTTCTTTTCAATATGTGCTTCAATACTTTTATCCAACATATCAAAGCTGAAAAGTACCGTCAGTTTGGCTTCTCCTTCAAGCTATTAAATCCTATCCACTGGTTCCAATTCGCTGATGACGCAGCCGTAATCACTGGCCAAGAATCTGAAAACCAGCATCTCTTAAATCGTTTTTCCATCTGGTGCCGATGGTCCAATATGATTATCAGAGTCGATAAATGTAGTACCTTTGGCATCAAGAAAGCCATCACAAAATCAGTCCAATATTTGCCGAAACTCATCATCAGCAATAATCTGATACCAACAGTAAAGATTGGAGAAGCATTTCAATATTTAGGACGTTACTTTGATTTTAACATGTCGAACGATAACCATAAGACTGAACTAACCACTCTCGTTAATGAACTAATGACTGATATTGACTCGAAGCCACTCCACCCAAGAAATAAGCTTCTCGTATACAGTCGTTATGTCTTATCCAAAATATCGTGGCATTTCACCATCGCAACACTTCACGCCGGGTCAGCAAGCAATGATTTTCGGCAGTTTGCATGTCATTAAAAATTGCGCGAATTTTCCGTGTTTTACCAAGGAGAATGGTAACGAATTAATTAGTCATCGTTTTTTCTTTCGCTGAGGCTCATGGTATTGTCTGGGTCGAAAGTGAACAGCAAATATGGAAAGGAGATGCTTCAAGGATCATTTTAATACCAAATAGTGGCCGTAAACCCACGAGGAAATAATAGAATATTTCGCCTTTTTGAGGACTAAAATGATCGATACTGCACAGTTTGTGAAATTCAACTAGTTTTCTCTCGGATAAAATTTGGCATCGTTTGTCAATCCTTGAAGAATTGTATTTGTAAAGCAACTTAAGACCTCTGGTGAGCATCGTATGATTTTTGTTTGTAAAATTTTGTCTCCGTTTGAGAGTAACAGGACCTGATACTTAGTTGTTTTCCTTGTGTTATTCATAAAGGATTCGCAGATGCACAGAAGTCGCATTTAAAAGATTTCTAAAGAAAATGCCTAATACCAAAGATAAACGTTTTAACATTGCAATGTATATGAAAGAAAGGAAAGAAGCAAGGTTTAAAGCTGTTCTAAATCATCGATCGCTAGCGTTGGAGCACAAGAAAAGCGAGAGAATTCAAGCCAAGGTATAGAAACCTAAGCAATGTATTTGTTATTCAGATATTAACATTCTATTTACTATCAGTAAATGTTTAACTTTGTTATTAATATAAACATTTACCTTTATGCAGATTGTAAAAGCAAAGGAAAAAACAGCTGCTTTGACATCTGATTTGGAAAACAATATGGTGAGTTTCTGCGACAAATCAAATCATGTGGTATAGTAGGATTAAACCCATTAAGCCGTAATATGTCTATATTTTGTTATTTTACTCTGTCTAATGCCAGATGATTTTACTCATCAAGGTGAAAATATTGGACATTAACCCATTATGCCCCAGCGCTCTCCCCTTGACTAGGAAAATCGTCTGGCATTAGACAGAGTAAAATACTAAAGTAGATGCATCAGGGTGCAATGCGACTCAATGGGTTAACTAGACACATGGGCAGATAGGCCAGTTAACACATTAAGCGCCAGCGTTTTCCCCTTGACGAGTAAAATCGTCTGGCGTTAAACAGAGTAAAATACTAAACTAAGGTGCATCAGGGTGCAATGGGACTCAATGGGTTAACTGGTAAATTACAGCAGCATATTTTGGTTCATCTATGCATTTTACAATTTACATTATAATATAGCATTTGTAAATTCTGAACGCTGATTGGCTAAGAGCCGTGTTGATATAACTCAATGTCAACACGGGAAATTTTCCGCCGCTTGTAAACACGGAATTTTTTCCTATCCTTCGGGCTTTTGACATTGCTATATTATAAAAAAATATAAAACATTTTTTCCGTGTTGATATATAGTTATATCAACACTCGTGGAAGTTGGGAAAACTTGAAATTGTATGGAAACACGATGCCTGAAGGGCGTGTCCCAATTCCACTCGTGTTGATATAAATGTATATCAACACGGAAAATGTTTTATATTTGTTAAATAACAGTCAACTATTTACATGCACAGGTAATATATACTGTAAATTTAAGTAATGATATAAAAGATTCTGGACTTTCATGCAAGAAATACCCCGTCAGATAAACAATTATGATTTTCGAACACTTTTTTCAGGTTTTTTACAATTTTATTATTTAACGACAATACCAGTACTGCTAATATATTGCCTGCCTGTGCAGTTCAACTATTTTGGCCTTGTTATTTTGGCTCGGCAACAATGGCTTCAATTACCTCTAGTATAATTTGTTCGTGATGGTAAGTGGGATTTGAGATGGGCCGTGACCATTTGATGATCCTAATTAATTTGTATTGTTAGCCCTGTAATTCTGAGACAAGGACAAGAAAAGCTACGACATTGGAGAATGGGGTATCAAATATGCCAGTTCGAACAGCAACAAAAAGGAGGCGGGAAACCATGACAGCGGTATCAGCAATCCATGGTGCATCCAAGAAGAATTTAAAGCCTGCTTATGATGGGATGTTCGACACCCTCCAGAAACGATGCAAGATGAAAGATTTAACAAATTATGTATTAGGTAATGAGAATTTAACTAAAACTGTAGTTTCTGAATATTACAAAAAAGAGTTGAAAGATTTTGAAAAATTAAAAGAAAATGCGGAAAGGAGTATTGCTACATTTTACTCAAGTGGTGTCATGGGCAAGAGAAAATATCAAAGTGTTAGGCTTGTGCTTTCAATGACATCAAGCGAACAAGGTGGGAGAACGGGCATATCAATTTTTCCAGGCTGCAAGGTACCCAAAATATTAACATATAATAACCTTGTAAGAGAGTTGAACAAAATTGATATTGGAAATGTTTTGGAAATCAATAACGAGTACCTCAGTGACTTAGAAATAGATGCACCCATCAATGGCGCATACAGAGATCTAAGAGAGTACTTGCCACGTTTAGCTAAGTTCTATTTGAGTACCGATAGAAAACATGCTTTAGAATGGTACGGTAAAACTGAGGGTACATTTTTAATAGCACTAGGAGGGGATGGTTGCCCATTTGGGAAACATGAAAGTGCCTGTTCATTTTTAGTTAGTTTCCTTAATGTTGGTCGAAAGGTAGCATCAAGTCATGATAACTTTTGCATTTTTGGGGCTAATTGTGACGAGACCTCTCAAGTTGTAAAA